AAGGTCGGTTATCCGAAGGAATTCCAGTCAACAAATTTAAATTTTTGCCAGTGCTGTGGCGCTGTAATCTTTGGCTATGTCTTGGGCTACTCAAATATTTTACGTTTTTGATACTAAATTAACTTCTGAAGTATAATTTTTTATTGTTTTTATATTTTTCAATATATTTATTTTGTTTGTACAAAATAAAAAAATAATTTTTAATGATACAATAGTTTTCATTAGGCTTAACATCGAAGAAAATTGAACGCGAAGCGACACACAACGGAGAAAAATCAACATGGGATAAATTGAACTATTTTTTGGTACATAATCGGTTATCCAAAATATTAGTTATCTGAACAACCCTGGTCCCCAATTGATTCGAATAATCAACACTCTACTGTATATATATTTTTATTATTATATATAAACATAGTAAGAAAGTATTTATTTTTTATTTTTGGGGGTCTCCAGAACAAATTAATCAAATTCCCATAAAAACCTATAGTAAATCGATAATCGGTTAATGAACAATTCGGATAGAGAACAAAGTCTTGGAACGGATTATGTTCGTTAACCGATCACCCACTGTACTGTACTAAAACGCTGCAATGTAGATGAAATATAGTGTCAATAAATACTTAACACTAAAACATACTTCAACCATACATAAAACAATAACAAATATTTAAAAGTGTCATAATTTATTTAGGATTTAAAATATTATAAAGTGTCATAATTTATTTAGGATTTAACCTATTAGGATTTAAAATATTCTGCAAATACATGAAATAAAGAATAAAACTAATTCTTTATTTCATGTATTTGCAGAATATTTTAAATCCTAATAGGTAAACTATTCATTTAATTTTGATCAATATTCCAAATGAGTTTTATGAATACTTTTTTTATGAAAATGAAATATAGTCATAGTGACCAAACTGCAGCTCATGAGCTGCAGGCAGCTTTTACTGTGGCTCCTGTCTAATTATGACTTACAATTTTTCTTTTTATAAACTTGGTACATATTACTTACATATAGTGCAAACAAAAAATGTCACCTATTATATAATGTGACATATACACTGACTGTAAGCTTAACACACAAGTTAATCTTGAACAGTCAACCAAAAGCTAAGCATATACTTATAAATACAAAGAACTTTAAAATTGGCTAGGTAAACATTGGTTTATTTTATTGGCACTTAAACAAACATTGGCATTTACTAAAGAATATGATGACTAGTATTTTAACTCTGATTTCAACAGATGTGATTGTGTAAACTATTATTATTATTATTATTTGGAAAAGTTTTATTTTATTTTTATTGTAAGAGGGTGTTTTTTTTTGCGTGCTTTTCAGTGAGTCGGTCTCATCTGTTGTTTAGTGTACCGGATTCAAAAGGAATCCAAACCGTATTGTCTGAATGATTTAAGAGAGTTTAAATCAATAAAGATCGTTTTATTGTGCAATTATTGTGAGTTCATATACAGTCCATTCATAGCACCAATAGTGACTCATGTACAGTACTTCTGATAATCTTCATGAACAGTACTTGGCTCCTATTATGACAAAGTTTGGCCACATCTGAAATATGCTGATGATGATATTTAAATGATACCACTATTTCTTTAAGTGTTATAAATATATCTTGTGATTTATAACATTCCAAGAACACACATTAGATTGTGTGTTCTTGGAATTCTTATGATCTAATAATTAAGTCATTTAGTATAACAAACTGTATATTGTATTTTTTGTCATTATTTTACATATAAGTGTTATTCACATTTTATTTTAAAAAAGTTATAAAAAGTTTATTGATATTATATCAATGCCAATATTTACAAAAAATATTCTAAATTGAGTGCAAAAACTTTGAAACTCCTGTATCCTACAATAAGATTGCTTGTAACTTCTAGTCTTCATTTTCTTTATATATTACTACAGTAGAATCTCATTTTAATGGATCACGGAATAACAGATTTTTTTCACAGGGCCCGCCAAATCAATATAAATTTACCTCCTTTTAGTGGATCCATAACTCAGGATAACGGATTTTTTTCTAGCCCCCATCTATTGTAAACTTTGTGTTTTTTCAACATTTAATTTTGTTTCTGGGAATTGTTACATCTGGGATATGTACAACTGAAAAACTGGATGACGAGAGTCAACAGGCTGATATGATTGAGGAAGAGCCACTTAGTGAACATTTTCACCCTGGTCCAATTGTAGTAAGGCCATCAAGTATTTCCAAGTTGTGAAAATCTTCCTGACAAGTTTCAGCTTAAACAAATAGGCTATACATAACATTGCTAATATCAAGTGGCTGTTGTATTCAACAGGCAAAAAGGTGGCACCAAAACAAATTTTTTAAACAAATTGTGAAGTCAAGTGAAGTGCTAATGAACATACATAATTTGCCTCATTTTGTGCTTACTGTATATACAGTTTCTGTCAGTTATGTCATACCATATGTATAGCATAATATAGGATCTTGTAACATACATGTTCTATAGAATAAAGAATAGAGATATCAAAGGACTGAATTATTTCAAATACAGTCAACCACCTATAACACTGTTGATTATTTCGTTTTATATGAATTCAATGTTGTATGAGTCACTTAGATTTTACAAATGCATGTGCTGGGCTGTGAACAGCTCACGTATTTGTAAAATCTAAGTGACTTGTACAATGTGGAATTCATATAAAACGGAATAATCAACAGTGTTATAGGGGGTTGACTGTACAAGTATTTTTTATAAAGGGTTAAATAACTGATATTTTCCTGGATGTGTGGGAAATCTGTTGTTCATAACACAGTGTCCCTAAAGTCAGGACATACATGCAAAATAATAAATTTCATTTCTTGAAAATATGTAAACAACATTTTACTCAATTGGGATATTAAATAACATCAAAATGATTTCCATCATTTGCAATGTAAAATTCACATGAATTTGATGTAAATCCACATTGCCATCAACTTTAGCACATTCACTCTTTATGTATTCAATTCAATGTGTTACAGCTGTGATTTTCATTCAGTACACCACCTTTATCATACCCCAGGAAAAGAAGGCAAGGGGCTAAGGTCAGGTGAACATTACCTGTGTCCAGACTTTAGGGACATTCTGTATAATGGATTCTCTGAACATTGGATGATTTTTGGTAGCCCAAGCAATCTATTAAAATGAGTATTTGTTAATAAAATGAGTATTAAAATGAGTATTTGAGAGTATTTGTTTTAACACAGCTGTACAGATTAAAATAAAATTGTTTTGTTTCCCCATTCTACTTACTTGTCTTAACTATCTACTTCAACTTAATGTTTTACTGTATAAAATACTTGACATAAATCAAAAATTGATGGCAAAGTTGATAATTACCTATTCAATTAAGAAACAAATCTCTTGGAATTTTAAGATTTTTCTATATTGTATGAATTAGTACACTTCTAAATGTAACTCCTGTGTAAATCCTGCTCACACATTATAAAAATTAATGAAATGTTGACTTATAATAGTTAATTAGTTTTAATATTTATCATCATTAAAAGTCTAATTTTATTTAAACTGTAAGACAAAAACATAAATTAATACAATTTTTGAAAATTTGCATATCCCAAGAGTGTGCATTACTAAGTATCCAGATATGAAAATTTGTATAGTATTCAGCAATAGTAACTATCATGTTTATTTCCTACTACTGAGTCATGCTTGTCTACATTATTTGTATAGTTTATATTACTACTCAGTGATACAATTTGTGTAACACAGTTGCATTGAAATATATTTCATCAAAAGGTCAAAATAATAAAATCCAGAAAATGTTAACTGCATTGAGTATATAGCTAGGGCATCAGCCTACCTCTCATGGATAGTCTGCCAAAAATTGGGTGATCAAACCCTTAATAAGCATAAAAAAAAAAAGAAGCAGTCTTAGTGATCAGAAAAATTTTTTTTAAATGTCATTATTTTTCATCATTGTCAAGATTATTTCTACAATCAAAAATGCCTAATTTGATTTTAAAATAGATAATTGGATCTAAAATACGCAGCATTAAATAAATCTTGGTTCTGAAATAAAATGTCAATACAAATGGTCATGATTTATGCCGTCACCAAACATTTTATAATTCAAGCTAATCATAATTAAATTTTATTTAAATATGTTATTTTAAATTCTACATGTTTATATTCATACATGGTCAAAATATTGTTTATGAAATTTCTGAAAAATCACAGTATGTAATATTTACACATACATTTTTTTGTCCTATCTGAATACCTTTCATTTCTATTTTAAAAATTTATAAATAATTTATGAGAAGAAAGCATTATAAATTTTATTTAACTAAAACATATCTTACTTATTTTGTTAATTAAAAAATCTCTTATATTTTCTAATTTTACTTTGAATAAATAGTCCTAATCAAATTTTATATATTTGTAACCTTTTAATACATTTATATGATAATTTGTTTAAAAATATCTGCATAAACCATGATTGCATCATATTTTAAAAGTATAAAGATAATTTATTTTACCTTGTTTGTTGCAGAGAATTAAAAAGGGAACTCTATTTTGATTGATTATGTTATCACTTAAAACTGTGTAAAGCAATCTGAATTTTAAAAAATTTAATTAAAACAAATTACATTTTGAAATTATTAAATTAAATGCTTTAAATATGATTACTTACTCAGCAACATCTCTTATTTCTCGTGAAAAATTCAAACTATCAATAACAAAAATGACACCCCTGAAAATGTAAATTTTTATTCTTCAATTTCTACATTTTATCCAAAGGCAACACTTAAATAAATATTTTTATCACTTTATTTGGATTCATAAACATAATAATTAAATATTAAAAAAATTTTAAAACATTTTGTCAAGTTACATAATTTTGTACTCAAATGTAATGAAATTTACCTTGCTAAATGCTTGAAGTCATCAAGAAGTTTCATTCGCAGTCTGTCATTTCCAGGCAAATCAATTAGTCGGAGAGATTTCTAAATTTAAACACAAAATATAAAATTTTTAAAGTTGTAATTAATTTTTAATCTATACTAGTATATAAAGCAAGAGTGTTGTTTGTCAGAGGTAATCTTAGAATTTACCAAACTGATTTAAAATTTTTTTTTGCTATTGGAAAGCTTATTCTTTCCAGATGAGCATAGGTTAAATGCTATTTTTACATTAAAAATGGAAAATGACAAAAACAATGTTTTTACTGCTGCATTTGTCTGCTCCTTTCAAGGTCAATCCCCTTTGCCACCTGGTGGGCTTTTTTAATCTTATTATCCTGTATCTTATATTTTTGGTTCGGGTAGTTTTGTATGTTTTGTTTATATTGTCTTGGTTGTTCGTTTCTTATAATAATACTCTTATGTTATCGGATACTTAAAACTATAAGGAGTGAATTTACTTCCCTTACATGAAACTAAACTAATTGTAAGTCTATAGTATTTTTGTGTGTCCATTGTTTTAGTATTAATTCTACTGTATCATTATTAAAATAAGAATTAGTGTTATATTATGATATATCTACCTACATAAATTGAGTTCTTTCAGTTACTTTTCAGTTGCACACATGTGCAAATGAGGGCACAATTGTGCATGTGAATGACACTGTTGGAACCTTAACAGAGCTGTACAACATATCCACAGGAGCAAAAAAACCAAAGAAACCATACCTCTATACATGACTCTTTGCAAAAAATAGTCTGCTGAAATCAACCTACTTCTAAGACATAAACAGGTGTCATGCCACGCACTCTGCTAAGATTATTACATTTAACTATTCAGCCCAGGTGACTATGCAGGCTTTGAGTAGTCCACTTGACTGTTCATGAGGTACTTGATGTTATATAATTTTAGGGGGTGTGGGGGCTTTCCTCCATGCAGATGCTGAGGTCTAAGTCATAGCAAGCACCAAATAACACTACATGTAGAGTATCAAGTCAAGGTGAGTTGTTGCTTGTCTTGACCAATACAGAGCATGGGGAATAGGCAGTAGTACTGGTTCAAGGTAAAAACTATTTTTGGTCAGTAGAAGTTAATGCATTTATTATTTATGTTAAAGGCACTGGTCACTATGCTTAATGTGCAAACATGATGTCCACAAGCAAGATGGCAACTGGAACTGCCACCACTGGGGTTCCATATTTGGAGGCAAATATCTTGCAAACATTTGCTTGTTGGACTTTTCTTTATTCTTTACTGATAAATATCATTAGAATGTCTGACACCATGCTGGGCTGTCTGTTAAACACACAATAGACTTAATAGAGCACAAAGCATAATTCCCTATAGAGCCTGGAAGTAGTCTGATTTCAGTGGGCTGTATCTCATGAAGAGTCACATATAGAAGTATGGTTCCTTTGACTTCTTTGCTCCTATAGGCATGATCTACAGCTCTGTTAAGGTTTCAACAGTGTCATTCACATCTGCAATCTTACCTGAATGAGCCTTATCGACTGTAAAATGCCTAAAAGAAAGTCGTAATTGTCCCAAAATATATTGTGTTAAGAACCATTGTAAAGCTTATTATTTTCCAATGTACATAAGCTACCTTAAAACTCAGACCCCTCATTCCTTCCTGCTGATTTCATCTCCCTTACAAACTCCCAAATCTTTTGACCAATCTGGACCAAATTCCACATTGTTTCTTGTAGGGTCCCAGAGAGTAACTTAGACCACATAAAACTCAGACCCCTCACTCCTCTCTGATTTATTCCCCTACTCCCAAACTCTCAACCCTTTTGTGCAATCTAGACAAATTTTGTATAGTTAGTCTCTACAATCCAAAAAATATAGGCTACTTTCAAAATCGGACCCTCTTTCCTGATTTCATCCCCACAAATTGCCAAACTTTGATTTGATTTGCCCCAAATTTTGCATACTTACTCTCTGCCATCCTGCAGGTCACATATGCTACTCTATAACAGGGACAACTCAATCCCCCCTGAATTCCTGGGCAACATTGGGCATTCTTTGCTAGTTATTATATATAGTTGATAATATCATTTGTTTAATTCTCAACACTCAAATTTTTAAGTGTTCTGGATGTGTCTAGAAGATTGATTTTAAATAATTATTAGCAATAAATTAATTCTCACATTTATAAGGGTGCAACTATGCAGACGTGAATTTAGAGCAAGTGAGAGGTTGCGAGTGATTTAGTTTTCGCAAAGGAAAACCATGCACAAATGAGAAGCGAGAAATAACACTAGCGAGAGCGAATTTCTGGTTTCACACATATCTGACAGGTTTTGATATTTATCGCATCTCGCNCAAGCGCATCTTTAATAGAGACTACAGGTGGAAAATCCAGTTCCGTTCTGGATCTGATCCGTCTTAATTGCTTAGTCTGTTGAACTAGACAGACTAGAGGTCCGTTGTCGGTTTTATTTATATAAAATATATAAATTTGTCTTTCTGTTCTTAGCTTTTTGATGAGCCTGCTCAAAATTATTCTTGCTTAACTCAGACTCTGAGGATAATATAGACTTCCATGTAATCTGAACACCCAATTCTTCCTTTGATTTGATCTTCTCGATATTTCGTGATACACATAACAATGGTCATACAACATGGAATTCATATAAAACGGAATTATCAACAGTGTTATAGGGGGTCGACTGTATACTAAAATAGATTTGTAGGATGGTTTTTTTTTTAATATTTACATTTTAGACATGCAATACCGGAAGTATCGAATAATTATTAATAAAACAAATAAAACTCTATGAACTCTAACAAAAATATAAATTTTTAAAATATCGTTGTAAAATGTTCAAAACTAATTTGATTTAGTTCCGACCCGCAGTAGCTTCTGCGTTAGTAATTATAACATCAAATGTAACTTCTGTTGAATGAAACCATTAATAATACTACTATTGCTATAGGTAAATTTTTATTTTCGAAATTCTACATCGGAATAAATTTGGAAGTTTATGTCGTCTTTATTATTAATGTTATACAAATATAAACAGACAGTAATCACTGAAAATTTTTATATAATATTTGTGAATTACTTAGTAAAAAAGAAAATCTGTGCATATCTAGAGAGTAAAGCAATCATATCTTGGCAATTTGCTTGTATTTACTGTTTTGTTTCTTTTAATCGCGTTTTTTAAATCAACTATAGAGCGCGCTTCATTTTTTAAAATTCGTGCTTCGTTTTTTCATATTTGTTAGAAAGCGTGTATATGGTACCGTACATCATATGCGCGCTTAGTTTTCCTTCTTACCAGTGTGGACGTTATTTATCTACAGTTCTTATGCGCGGTTATATATTATGTAGTGCAGACGTTCCTCGATTTATAACACTCCAGGAGAACCAATCGTGTTCGTAAGTCGAGGATCAGCTTGTATATTTTTTATGTATTTCGAATTTCTTAATTTGGCGAAATATTCAGCCAATATGAATAATAATGTAACTACTGATATTTACGATTAAACATTAGTTTAATATTGTTTTCAGAGCATTTTTACTATTTCATTTATTATTTGCTCTGCAAATTGCAGTCGTGAAAATCGTGTATTTATGTGATGAACATTCGTATCTGTATTAGGTATTTCCTGCAGGTTATTAGCTTTCTGACTTAAAGCACCCGAGATGAAGTCCGAACGAGCAATCTCCATAATTAATGGAGGATCTCCCAGATTTATCAGGCCCAGTCCTCCCCCAAGGTCTTAGATTATAAATCTAAGACCTTGGTCCTCCCCACTGTGGGCTTGGGAATGTGTATAATTATCGATTAAAAAACTCTCTTAGTACCCAAATTGAGTAAATTATATTAATACGATAAAGATTAAACTCAGCAAGAATTTAAACTTGTTCTTAAGAAATTGAAACATAAAAAATATTTATTTTCTTTTTTTTTGGTGTTTTATGTAGTTCGATTAGATTCCGTAATCGGCGCTCTAGTTCCATTGTTTTTAACGCCGCTGGAATGTTTAAATGGTGACCTGGTCGCTGATGCTAATAGTATGTTATTTCCAATTCTTTTCGCGTTGAAATTTTAATAAGTATGTCGTCTTCAAATACTTATACAATCCATCCAAGTTTTGAAAAAAGAATCCAATCTTCTGCCGTGAGAGAATGTATTCAGGTAATTTTGAGTGATCATTTAGGAGATAAAGATTACTCGAGAAGTGATGTCTCTTCTTGGACTAGAATCATTTCCGAAAAAGTTCGTAACAAAATTAAAGAACTAGGAGAAGACAAACGCTATAAGACGGTCGTTCAAGTTATAATTGGAGAAATGCGTGGAGAAGGTGTGAAAATTGGTAGCAGGTGTCTTTGGGATGCAGATACAGACAACTGTTTTACGGAATCATTCAGAAACGACACGTTATTCTGTGTTGTTGCAGTCTTTGTTAGCTATTATTATTAACAGTCTTCACTAATGTTTCGATTTTTAGTGATTATAGAATATAGATTCAAACAGTCGTCTTTATTTCACCAGTCTTGTGTTTCCTTCGCAATTAAAAACATTAACGTGGATCACAAGTTAATTTAATACATAAACGTTATATAAAATTAAACCTATACAGTTTACAGCATGTACTTATTTAAGTTATTTTACTGCAATAAAAACTATTTTACATTAGATGTAATTAATTACAGAAATTACATAAATGACGAGAAAAAATAGAAAAATATGTTTATTAATACATATAAACTATATTTTTTTTTATATCAAAATCTGTTGTTATTGCATTTAAGTATGGCTTCAAAATATTAAAAAGCAAAATACACGTAGAAAATAATTTAAATATGTGAACCAAACAGTTTATTTCTGAAAAGCATAACCGAACGAAAGTCTTTTATGCAATTTTTGCCAGCCAATTGATAATGTCTGATATATTGCTTGATTCTTCCTCGCTCCATGCACTACTTTCCATAAATTCAACACGAATTGGCTTTAAATCGCCAAATTCAAAATCTTTCCCCTTCTTTCCCAAAAAAGTGTTATTGTTGGCAACTTCGGATGTTAAATCGAGAGATGCACTTCGTGTAATACGCAATGTATTTCTGAAATATAAAATTTTTATATTTTAAATCCAGCAATAAACATTATTATTTATAATTTTGAACAATTATAGGCATATATAATAATAAAAGTTTACTGAAATATGAATAACAAAGTAACAAATTACATCTTACATTTCTTTTTCCAGTTGGCTCTGAATTACTTTGCTTCCTTTTGCCATTGCTTCATCTACATTAAAATATTACAATGAAAATGTGTACATTTTAAAACTAAATCAGATAACAAAGTACATTAATTTGAATATATATAAACTTTTCTATTAAGACAAATTTTAAATGAACAAAAACTGTTTAAAATTTAAACAAAAATAGACTAAAATATTTATTCTGTTAAATTTTAAGATTATAAATATTTCAAAAATAATCAATTATTTATAAATATATTTTACATTAGTAACAAAGATAATTTTAGTTTGATTATCAGAGTTATATATTACTGTATATAGTAAAACTTCTCTAACTCAAAGAAAATGAAGCACTTGGTAGGTCTCAATGGAATAAATAGCAAAGGAACTTAACATCTCCAGCTTGAATTTCCTTAACTCAAATTTTCTCCTGTCGAAAGTTTTTGTGGTTCCCAACACTGATTTATGTTACTTTCAACTTCTCAGACTCTAATTTTAATATTTATTCCATCTAAAGTGTTCCTAATTATCAGATTTCCATGAAATTTTCAGACAGTTGTATTTACTGTCAACAACCATTTGCAGACAATGTTCCAGTCCAAAGCAAGAGAACCTATTGCTTTATCTCAACAAGATATACCTGCAAAACTGTCCAATTCCATTAGTTACATTGAACATTTTGCTGAAAGGTGTTACATAGGCTGTTTAAAAAAAACTATCAAAGATTCTTTATATAATGCAAGAAAGGTAAAAATACAAATTATTCAGAATTGGCTCTATTGTTCTGTAACTCAAAGTTTTTCCCCCACCCCTTGGAGCTTCAAGTTAAGAAGTTTTACTGTAATTCTCTAATAATCAAAATAAAATCACATTCATGATTTCTTTTTTAAACATGAGAACTTTCAATTGTTTAAAAAATTAATGTTTTTGGTCAAATTTTTTATCAGTTTATCTGGACATTGAGAGAAAGGTGTAAATTTTTATGTTTATAAGACAGTTCCAGCTTTAAAATTAAATATTTTAAAAAAGAAACTTATTAATGTAATTATTTAAAATAGATAATGGAAAATTTATTATTTTCTAAAATAGTAATCTGAATTACTACTTTAAAAGTATATTTTATTTATTTTGAATACATTGAGTAAAGTTTGTACACACTTGAAATAACTACAGTATTTCCCATACAATAAGTAAGATAAAATACAGACAGACAATAATTCAAAAGACACAAAATAGTATAGATATAAAATATACTATAAATACAGTGGGTGATCAGTTAACGAACACTTTCACAAAAGAATTTTATGTTCGGACAACGAACACCTCACAGAACAAACACAAGAAGAAGCGACGTAAAATAATGAATACCGATTGGTCTTCCCTTGTCTTCAGGCAACAATTCCGGACTTTTCAGAGCGTGGGAGACATTGACNCAACTATGCAGACGTGAATTTAGAGCAAGTGAGAGGTTGCGAGTGATTTAGTTTTCGCAAAGGAAAACCATGCACAAATGAGAAGCGAGAAATAACGCTAGCGAGAGCGAATTTCTGGTTTCACACATATCTGACAGGTTTTGATATTTATCGCATCTCGCCTCTTCTTTCTCGCTCATGTCTGCATAGTCGCACCCTAATTGATGAAACAATAATAACTACAGTAGAACATTGTTTATCTGAAAGAATTCCAGTCGGCAAATTTAAATTTTCGCTAGTGCTGTGGTGCTGTAATCTTTGACTATATTTTGGGCTACTCCAATATTTTTTATGTTTGTGTATGTGTTTTAGCTGGCAGTACTGTCACTTTTGTGTGGTGTTTTTCTGAGGACTGTGTGTCGTGCTGAATCGAACGTTTTTGATACTAGATAACTTCTAAAGTATAATTTTTTTTGTTTTTATATTTTTCAATATATTTATTTTGTTTATAAAAAATAAAGAAATAATTTTTAATGATACAATAGCACGATTATTATTTTAAAAAATTTACATTAGGCTTAACATCGACGAAAATTCAACGTAAAGCGACATGCAATAAAGATAAATTTCAACATGGAATAGGTTAATATATTTTTTCATACATGATCGGTTATCCGAACAACCCCAGTCCCCAACTGATTCGGATAAACGACACTCTACTGTATTAATAAAGTTCTAGCAAAATCTGATCAAAACTTATATATGTACATCCAAGATAACAACCTACGGCTCTGGGATACCCAGGATCAAATCCAAGTGGATAAAAAATCCCAGGAATTTTTCACAAGTAGTCTGTCCTGAATGTGTCTGGCCCATTCCTCACCACTCATTCAACCACCAATCATTGGGGCCTGGCTGAACTCATGATGGGCATGGAAAAAAGGTGCTCTTACTGTCCACGGGACAGAATGTATGAATTAATGAGGTTTAGATTTTAAAAATTAATAAATTTTGTGTATTATATAACTAATTTTCAAAAATGTATTTTTCTTTCTAATATGTAATAACAAAACCAAAACAGAAAATTTTGCATGTGAAGAATAACAAAATATTTTAAATTATAATACAAGCAAATAGTACAATTTAATATCTAAAATATAAACAATTGAACCAATTATGTTGGTTTTAAGATTATGTTTGTTTAAATAACCTATAAAAATAGTTTGAAATCATGGAAACTATGAAAAAATTATGTAGTTATAATATTCCTGATAGACAGTAAAAGTACAGTAGAGAGTCAATTATCCGAATCAATTGGGGACTAGGGCAGTAGCGTAGCGAACATAACTGGTGCCTGGAGCACAACACTTTATTGGTGCCCCCCTCCAGAAACACATAGTTTGCCTTGGAGCATGATACATCCCCTTGCACCCCCCTCACTATGCCACTGGACTGGGGTTGTTCAGAAAATCGATTTTTTGGATAACCAATTATCTACGAAAAAATACATTATTAATATAGTATATTAGTATATCTCAATAATAGTATATTAATATATCCCATGTTTAAATTTTTCTCCATTGTGTGTCACTTCACGTTGAATTTTCATCGATGTTAAGCTTAACGAAAATCTTTATAATAATAATCATGTCTATTGTATCGCTAAAAATTATTCCTTTATTTTGTACAAACAAAATAAATATATTGTAAAATATAAAAACGAAAAAAAATTATACTTTAGAAGTTAATCTAGTACAAAAAATGTTCGATTCAGCAAGACACAGTCTGACTGGAACGCTTTCGGTTAACCAATGTTTCAGTTGATTGGCATTCAGATAATCGACGCTCTACTGTAGACAGGAATTATGAAAGAATTTTTTTTTTTCATTTTGAATGTCACAGGATCTATAAACTTTGTTCAGAATATTTTTCCAATAAAACTACATTAAATAAACATTACATAAATTGTAAAATATTCATTTAAATTTTTAAACTGAAAAAAATCATAATTTAATTGAATATATTCAGGCAATAATTATAGCTGTTTCATATTCATCAAAGTGAAAATTTTTTGTTATTTTAAATATTAAATTGTCAAACTTACCTTACTTTTCAGGTCTATAATAGCAGAATTTTCCTTCATAGATGCAAAAGTGTGCATTCTTTTAGAAGCTACTAGCTATTCATTAAACAAAATGTCATCATCATCATCATCATAATTTACATATGTATATTTGATTTTGATAAAGTTTATAACTTACCCTACAGTAGAGCAAAGTTTTGCCAGAATCAGATAATCCAAAAATTAAAACTCCTCTTTGTTGTAATTTCCTTCTTTTCAAAACAAAAATTACTGAAGAAAACAACAATAGTTATATTTAATTATATATTTACATACAAAATGACAACAAAAGATTTTTCACACATTATGTAATTCACACTTCAAATTTTTAATTAATATGGGGCTGTCCATAAATTACATCCACATTTTTCTTGAAATTTTTACTCTCCCTTCTCCCATTGTCCAGTTTTTTCAAGTTCCCATAACCCCTTCCATTTTTTAGACATCCAACAAAAATCAACCCTCTTCAAAACCTTTATCACTCTATGAAAAATAAAATACATAAACTGTATAAAATTTAATGAAATAAAATGGACATCCATTGAAGTTCAACCTTTCCTTGTCTGACTTTGTCCAACTTGTCATAAAGAGAGTGCATTAATTTAATATACAAGATGCAAATTCATTATAATATGCTTGGAAAGCTTTTTATAATCCCCCAAAAAAAAAGATCATATAACTAAATTAAACTATGGTGTGTTAATATAAAATTAAATAGAATACATTAGTTTTAAAGTTTAATTTGGAAAACTTAAATTTCAAATGTAATCAAAATTTGAATTCAGTTTGAATATAAGATACAATAGAATAAGCATTCTAAATGGAACATACACATTGAACCTGAACACGATGGTCAAGCCATACAAAAAAGTTTGTCATTTTTAATACTGGAATAAAACAAAGGTTACCAATGTAATTAATGTGCTATTTTTACTTAAAATCAAATCAACTTGTTAGGCAATGTTGCAATATTTAACAGTTATCTGTGCTGCAATGTTTGCATAATTCTTCAAATATGCCGAGGTCAGAAAGGTTGAGAATCACTATTATATTTTAAGTATCTTTAATTAAAGGTACCTTACAGCTTGTAAAGTGACATTTAAATATGTTGTAATCTGATTTGTAATTTTGAAGTTTAAAATGTTACTCTATACATAATCTTAACAAAAACATCTAATAGATTTCAGAATTTTTTAGTTGATATTTCAGGTGTACGTACTGAACATATGCTGCATTTGATCCAACAGCAAATAATTTATTTATATAATAAGTGTAATTATGAAAACTTTTGAAGCACAATATAACACGTGTTATCATTTCCATTAATCCTTTACAAATCATGAAATAAAAATCCTAACGAATAAAATTTGGATAATTCATAACATTGCATGTTAATCACGACACGTGAAACTTACACTATAAAGCATATGGTGATCACTTAACTTACATATAGTTAAAAAAACAACAAATAAGCCAATAGCGACGCTGATAAAGAAAGCATTGTCATGCCAGAATTCTTCAATACTTAAATTGGAAAGCCATTCTCTTTTAAAATCGTCTACTGCCGAAGAAAACGAGTTATCAGAAAACCTCATCGACTCCATGTTTCACCACACTTCGCCTCCTACCGGTAAAAATTACATGCTCACAAAAAAAAAGAAAAAATTATTTTTAAAAATTAAACTTAAAAAGAATTTATTTTTAAAAATTAAACTTAAAAAGAATTTTTTCATACACTAACGACACAAGCCTAAATCTTTTGTGAAAAAGATTATTTTGATTTTTAAATGAATTATTTTCTGTCTGAATAAAAAAATTATTAATTCCTCTTGTTTTTAAATGTCTTGACATAAACTCGAAAGTCGGGAGTCTTGATTTTCACAGGACATTCCTGCTTTTTTAACACTTTCATTGTTAACACTTCTATTTCCACACTTCACAATACAGCGCTTTTATTTCGCCACTGATATTCGAATATACAATAGCAATCTTATCGTTTTTTTTACTGTAGTATAGAAATTTGTAATAAGATACATAATACGGTTGTAATAAAATATTAATTTTAATTAATTCAAAGTACGTTAAGATATGAAAATAATCTCGAAATATGTATTTATATTTTAGAAAATACAAGGGAATTATTATTGCATGTATGTTCAAATTTGAAATAGCTGTGTATCTCCGAAAACTCCGATTACTGAGGATAATGCTCATACTCGTATTCAGTGTTGCCGCAATGAAATTTCAAAACGTTATATATATATATATAGGCACGTAATATATATAGTTTATTGTCAAATAATTTAATTTAAAATTTTATTTTTGGAATTTTTTGAAAGCTATTTATAAATATCTACACATCTATTAGTTATTATAAAATGAGCATTACATTGACAACATTTATTAATAATACTATTGAATTTCATCTTAATTTTATAACCAATCGTGCTTTAAAAAAATAATTATAAATTTGTTATATTATATTATTTTATTCTTTATTATACTTTAAATTTTTTTGATGTTATTGCATCACTTTACGAAGTGGTATATACGTAATTGCATCAGTTTTAGTACCTATTTAATTAATTTCAATCATGACAGCAAAAGATAAGGATGCTTGTTTCTTTTAAACTATTTGATGAAAACGTTACATAAAATTGGGGTTGCATAATCATCCGAAATTATTATTATATTTTTGACTGGAAATTACAGGATTTATGCAATTTTAGTTTAATTAATGTCATATAAAACTGACTGCTCGTACAAGTTTGCTTAAAACATGCAACTCAAAAAACCCCAAAATGGCAGCTCAAGAAGTAGATCACGCGTGTCCTGACCTTCTTATATAGACCTTGGAACAGTCGGAAGCGCGGCCATTTTGGAACCATACGTAACATTAACCCTTATTTCTTTTACTACGATTACTAAAATTGAAGTTCATAATTTAAGAATTAAGTTATAGTGGTAGAAAATTATATAAAAGTATTTATATTATTTATACTCGTACAATTTCAAAACTATTTTCTGTAATAATTTTATTTTGACTTAACGGATATTTTGATATTATTGACGACAAAAGTTTAAAATCACTGATTTCCTTACCTGTCCATTATTTTTGTTTGACGGAGTTGAATTGTTTGGACCACGTGGCATGAAAAATTTTGTCAAGGTCCTGATCAGAATGTGCAGACAACTGAACGTGTGAAAGAAGACCACTGAGTCAAGACCGTTTACACGTGCAACTATCTACGTTGTGATTGGATAATTTAAATTACAAGCAGTGATACTAGTGAGACTTTATTAAACTCATTTTTTCTCATTTTTTTCGTTAAGGCGTAAAATATTATTTTGTACCGTAAATGGTACTTAATTACAAGAAACACTGGAATTAACCGTGATCATTGATTTTAGCTATAACATTTTAATAACGATTTAGTAAACATCATGAAAAATATGTAACTATTCTTATCCATTTATCGAAAAAGTAATTTTGTAATTACCTCTTCGTATATCTTCATGACTAGATTTAATTAAATGTAGTATACCAGTATAGTGTTCAATGGAAAATATAACTATGCGTCGACATTTAAAAATGTTGCACTTAATTCTCATTTTTCATGCAAACCGGACTTCGTAAAACCGAGTCTTAATCTTTTAATAAGTGAGAAGTACACTAATGTTTGCAGTTCCGCGAAGAAGCGAATTTCTTCTTTTCGGAAAAAGTAAAAACTAAACAAAAAATTGTGGAATGAATCAAATCTTCCCCATAATCCCATTCTTAGTTGTGGTGCTTACCGTAAAACCCTTGCCCCCGCAACCGTTTTGTTGATGGAGTGGAGGATTTTGTCGGAAATTTCAGACTGTTCAGCCCACCATACGTTATTCACCTAGAAGCTATTGTTTATACATATTATATATCATTATATATTATTTTATACCGGATTATATATAATAATAATTCATTATTAAATGTTTAAAACTTGGTATTTTTAAAAAGTATGATAATAACTGACAATTTTATCATATTCTGCGAACCTAGCATCGTCGTATTCTGTTATTGTTTGGAAAATGGATAAACTTCAATCTTATTTTGTTTGTACAATCTTATTATTATTGTCTTATTCAGACAACTGTTCAAATTTCAAAATTGTTTATTTTGTTTTGAATACTATTTCACTTTATATTTCTATTGTTTATTAAAATGTACAACCCTTTATTGCCTGACGGGACTTTCTAGTCCCACTATCTTTGAAATTTTTAATTTCAATGTGTATAGGTTACCGCTAAAGCTCGAAAGTCGTTAATATGTACATTACCTAGCTAATCTGCAGATTAACTAGAGTAATCCGTTAAGGTTGTGAAAATTGTTCCATTTCTCAAATTACCTAGATAATGTGCAGAGTATCTAGGTAATCCGCACATTACCTACTAGGCACTCGGTAAAGTGAAAATAAGATCTTTGCTGAAACAACAGCAACATTTCTGTACGCTTAGATTAACATAACGTTCTTTATTTAATTTTCGATATCTAAAGAATCAAGTTAATACAATCAAACAATCGACAAATTAGTTGATAGAATCAATCATCAACCAATTAAAAAACATACAAAAAATCAAACGGTTTAAAATATTAATACAATTAGGGAAATGATTATATGGAATTTCGGGACTTTGAGTATCTATCTAAACTGAGGGGACCGAGACGACTTCAACGATACCCTACTTTTGAACCGGAAACGAAAAATAATAAAGTTATCATACTTTTTCTGGTGATTTCATCATATAATTGTGCAGTTAATGTTACCTATGGTGAGTAAAATGGCGGCTCGTCTCTGATTCCAGCAAACAGAAGAAAGGAAACAGTGGGGACGCACGTTCTAACCTAACCTAACCTAACCTATTCTAATAAATTACCATAATTATTACCAACCAAATTATTAGAATAGGTTAGGTTAGGTTAGACGTGCGTCCCCACTGTTTCCTTTCTTCTGTTTGCTGGAATCAGAGACGAGCCGCCATTTTACTTACCATAGGTAACATTATCCAATTGCGCTTACTTATTAGTGCAGTTTAAAGATTGGTGACACTTTGAATTTCATAGCAATTGGTTTTTGCGACAAGCACATCTATTTGTGGTACATTTATTTGTGGCAAAGAACTTATTTTCATTTTACCGAGTGCCTAGTAGGTAATGTGCGAATTACCTAGATACTCTGCACATTATCTAGGTAATTTGAGAAATGGGACAATTTTCACAACTTTAACGGATCACTCTAGTTAATCTGCAGATTAGCTAGGTAATGTACACATTAACGACTTTCGAGCTTTAGCGGTAACATATACATTATAGCTTACTGAAACTTACATTTTTTCATTGTATAAAGTGTCCTTTTTCTTCTTTATAGAGTAGTAACTTTCAAATTGTTTCTTTTTTAGTTCTGTTGAAAAAGTTTCACATCATGTGTTGTTTGAATGGTAGTAGCTGATATTGCTTTCTTTGTTGCCAAATTCTACTTATTGTTTATAAGTTAACCGTTTTTGTATTTTTTATTAAAAAATATATTCTAGATATGTGTAGTTTGATTTCAATGTATCATGTTTTAAGAATTAATAATATGCAAGCTGTATGAGTTCAAAATATGTTTGGGACTTATAAGTCCCATCAGGCCTGACAGAATCTTTTTTGTAAATGTTAGAAATTTGTATTTTCTACATTATGATTTATAGATTTATGGATTTATTTAACATTTTAATAGTTAATATGGATAAAAAAACTTATATATGAATAAATAGATAATCTTTTATCAAAAAAATTTCCATTTGATATTGATACATATGAAAACCATATTCAACATGCACATTATGTAAAGTTTTCTTGCGTGTAAATAGGAAAAAATAGCTTTTTACGTTTTTACAAATCATAAATTATTAAACTAATAAATTTTATTTCAGTTTTGTCATGCATTTTAATTTTTTTTAATTTTGATCTTATTATATTGTAAAAGTTATCAAATACTTAATATATATAATTATGTATTTAATCTGCCAATTTCTCTGATAAAAGTTCTTTATATAAAACAAAAATATTTTATTTTTATAATATTAAACAAGAAAAAAAATTGTTAAGTCCAAATGTGCTCTAAAGCCTGACAGGACTAATAAGTCCCATAATTAAAAATTTTTTATTATACATTTTAATTTTTTTATTTACTGATCTGTTAACAAACACCTCTTCTGATGATAAAATTTTTATCAAAAAAATAAAAATTCAGGCAATAAAGGGTTAAGTGTAAAATAAATAATATCAATTAAAATCACATTTAAAAAGACTCTTTTCATATTTGGATGCACAGAACAGGTATATGGACACTCTGATTTATAGCCGTTCTTACAGAAAATTGGTACAGAAAATTCCTTCAAGAGACAGAGTTCAAACCTTTAAGATGGACAAGTAATAGTTCTTATCTCAACTCAGTTGCAAGCTCATGACATATTGTGGGTACGAAAATAGCAGAGAAGAGACCTGAAAATAAACAGCAATTGCAGGAATGTATTACAAGAGTTTGGTGTAGAATACTTGAAGAAAGAAAATCATTAGCTCTGTGCAGAGCACTGCAAAACTTCTGTTAAGGCTTGAGGTAACTATACAAAGTATTGAGATCTTATTCAATGAGAAATAACTATTCATTTTATGGTTTTGAGACCTACAGTACTTATGCTAAAAATCTGTTTTCCTCGATCAGTGTGAACGGCAAGTTCTCATTACAGTGCACACAGGCTGACATGAAATAACACAACTTAAATTCAATATAGCATTATATAATTTGTTTTTCAAAACCGCAGTGCAGCGTAATAATCAACACTTGGCATAACTCATTCATTTATTTCAGCTTTTGTTGAGATGCGTTTTAAAGATTTTTGAAGATTTTTTGAAGTGTTCTTTAGAGGAAATTTGAAAAATAGTTAAAGGTCTTACTTCGAAAAAAATTTTTAAAATAAGAACGCATTGTTATGCAAATCATCATAAAAGGAAAACGCCATTAGATGCTAAGAGCTGAAAAAATAAAATTAAAAAAGTGAAGTTTAGTTACTTAGGTAAGAATTATTAATAATAATAAATAAGGATAAAAAGATTGACAAAAGGCAAGTTTAATAATATAAAATGTATACGAATTAGTGCTGATATTAAAGAAGAACTGTGCTGCATGTCCATTATAAGTTCTTCTCGATATTTCCGGAAACCTGTGAATAAGTATGTAAGGATAAATTCAGTATATAGTTTAATATTTAAGTTTAATTAAAAACTGGGTTCTTTTGAAGATTTTTTAGAGGAAAAAATTTTTTGGAATAAAGCATTGTTATGCAAATCACCATAAAAGAATAACACCATTAAAATCTGTGGAGTTTAGTTGAGTTGTTTAGGTAAGAACTATTACTAATATTACATAAAGATAAAACGATTGATAAAAAAAAAGTTTAATAATATAAATTGTATACGAACTAGTGTTGATATTAAAGAAGAACTGTGCTACATGTCCATTATAGTCTTTTCTCGATATTTCAAGAAACCTTCTGTGAAAAAGGAATGTAGGAATAAGCCCAGTATATAGTTTGATACCTGAGTATTAAGTGCACTAACTGTATTACTTTTTATAATCTTCGAAGTCCAGTAAAGTCTAATTGCGAAAGTCTAGGTCTAGTATGTACCAAGTAGTAGGATTAAATATTTAGCCTAGTATTTGAAACAATCCAATATATAGTGTATGATTCCCGCTTGTGGAAATACGTGAAAAGATGGAATTTGTGATTTTAAAAAATATGTTATGTGTTACTTGTATAATACACAATTTTTTTAAATTCATATGTCGGGTTATAGTGTGTGTAAAGTTGGTTTTATATGTTTTTAGTTGATTGAGGAGGGGCAAAACGAAGCCCGAAACGTGTGTATAAACGCGTCTCAACAAAAGCTGAAATAAATGAATGAGTTATGCCAAGTCTTGATTATTGCGCTGCATTGCGGTTTTGAAAAATAAATACAAAGACACAACACGGTTTCGAAATATGGAAGATAGCATTATATAATATAAATTGAATGTTATTGTTTATTATTATTGATTTCTTTCCTGTACCATATGTATTATTACAAATCACAATCATAACTGTGCTGTTTTGAACAGCTGTTAAACATTTTCTGTTATACACATCTTAGCCCGCTACTGCATATATCCAAATTTTAAGAATAAATTTAACATATATAAGATGAATGTTTTCATTACAAACCCAAATAAAATGAAAGAAAAAATTCATTAAAATTCATTTATTAAAAGGTTTACGAAGTTATTGCAGTTGCCTTTACAATAATTCCATTTTTTGGACGGGGTATGAAAAACGAGAAGTCTTCTTCAACTTCCTATAACAAATTATTAATTTGTATAATTAAAAAACTATATTAATACTTTTATACATTAAATTAAATAAATTATTTAAATTAAGATTCTATTTACCAAACTTCCACAAGCTTCTAATTTGTAGCTCTTTATGAGATTAGCCAAAGTTAATTTCATAACTGTTTGACCCATTCTCATTCCTATGCAGCCTCTTGAACCGGATCCGAAAGGTTGGTATATCGATTGATCTATTAGTCCTGCATTCTTAGATGAAAATCTAAAAATTAGTCACCAAAATATGGCATTAAATACTAATTTCAAATAACCTATATTAATAAAAATAAATTAATTAATATCACAGGTAAAATGATTTAATATCAAACCTGTCAGGGTTGAAATTTTCCGGTTTTATCCAATAATTACAGTCTTTATGCAAGTTCGGTACTGGAATCATAACTGTAACTCCTTTTGGAATAGTTATATTCTTATAATGGAAATCGTTCGAACATTTTCTACTTATTAACCTGAGTGAAATTTTAGATTAGTTTAAAAATTTCGATTAAAAACTAAAATATAGTTTTAAGTGCCAAATATTTACAACGATGAAAGAGGACGAAGACGTAACGTTTCCGATATTACTTGACTCAGGTATTTCAATTTGGATAAATCAGCATATTCAATTTTCTGTTAAAAATATATTTTTAATAACGTAGATTCCTTTATACTCATAAATTAGTTTTATAACAAATTTATATGTTTAATGCAAAAACTATTCATAAAAGTGTTAACATCAAAACTTACAAAACNATAGCAGAGAAGAGACCTGAAAATAAACAGCAATTGCAGGAATGTATTACAAGAGTTTGGTGTAGAATACTTGAAGAAAGAAAATCATTAGCTCTGTGCAGAGCACTGCAAAACTTCTGTTAAGGCTTGAGGTAACTATACAAAGTATTGAGATCTTATTCAATGAGAAATAACTATTCATTTTATGGTTTTGAGACCTACAGTACTTATGCTAAAAATCTGTTTTCCTCGATCAGTGTGAACGGCAAGTTCTCATTACAGTGCACACAGGCTGACATGAAATAACACAACTTAAATTCAATATAGCATTATATAATTTGTTTTTCAAAACCGCAGTGCAGCGTAATAATCAACACTTGGCATAACTCATTCATTTATTTCAGCTTTTGTTGAGATGCGTTTTAAAGATTTTTGAAGATTTTTTGAAGTGTTCTTTAGAGGAAATTTGAAAAATAGTTAAAGGTCTTACTTCGAAAAAAATTTTTAAAATAAGAACGCATTGTTATGCAAATCATCATAAAAGGAAAACGCCATTAGATGCTAAGAGCTGAAAAAATAAAATTAAAAAAGTGAAGTTTAGTTACTTAGGTAAGAATTATTAATAATAATAAATAAGGATAAAAAGATTGACAAAAGGCAAGTTTAATAATATAAAATGTATACGAATTAGTGCTGATATTAAAGAAGAACTGTGCTGCATGTCCATTATAAGTTCTTCTCGATATTTCCGGAAACCTGTGAATAAGTATGTAAGGATAAATTCAGTATATAGTTTAATATTTAAGTTTAATTAAAAACTGGGTTCTTTTGAAGATTTTTTAGAGGAAAAAATTTTTTGGAAGAAAGCATTGTTATGCAAATCACCATAAAAGAATAACACCATTAAAATCTGTGGAGTTTAGTTGAGTTGTTTAGGTAAGAACTATTACTAATATTACATAAAGATAAAACGATTGATAAAAAAAAAGTTTAATAATATAAATTGTATACGAACTAGTGTTGATATTAAAGAAGAACTGTGCTACATGTCCATTATAGTCTTTTCTCGATATTTCAAGAAACCTTCTGTGAAAAAGGAATGTAGGAATAAGCCCAGTATATAGTTTGATACCTGAGTATTAAGTGCACTAACTGTATTACTTTTTATAATCTTCGAAGTCCAGTAAAGTCTAATTGCGAAAGTCTAGGTCTAGTATGTACCAAGTAGTAGGATTAAATATTTAGCCTAGTATTTGAAACAATCCAATATATAGTGTATGATTCCCGCTTGTGGAAATACGTGAAAAGATGGAATTTGTGATTTTAAAAAATATGTTATGTGTTACTTGTATAATACACAATTTTTTTAAATTCATATGTCGGGTTATAGTGTGTGTAAAGTTGGTTTTATATGTTTTTAGTTGATTGAGGAGGGGCAAAACGAAGCCCGAAACGTGTGTATAAACGCGTCTCAACAAAAGCTGAAATAAATGAATGAGTTATGCCAAGTCTTGATTATTGCGCTGCATTGCGGTTTTGAAAAATAAATACAAAGACACAACACGGTTTCGAAATATGGAAGATAGCATTATATAATATAAATTGAATGTTATTGTTTATTATTATTGATTTCTTTCCTGTACCATATGTATTATTACAAATCACAATCATAACTGTGCTGTTTTGAACAGCTGTTAAACATTTTCTGTTATACACATCTTAGCCCGCTACTGCATATATCCAAATTTTAAGAATAAATTTAACATATATAAGATGAATGTTTTCATTACAAACCCAAATAAAATGAAAGAAAAAATTCATTAAAATTCATTTATTAAAAGGTTTACGAAGTTATTGCAGTTGCCTTTACAATAATTCCATTTTTTGGACGGGGTATGAAAAACGAGAAGTCTTCTTCAACTTCCTATAACAAATTATTAATTTGTATAATTAAAAAACTATATTAATACTTTTATACATTAAATTAAATAAATTATTTAAATTAAGATTCTATTTACCAAACTTCCACAAGCTTCTAATTTGTAGCTCTTTATGAGATTAGCCAAAGTTAATTTCATAACTGTTTGACCCATTCTCATTCCTATGCAGCCTCTTGAACCGGATCCGAAAGGTTGGTATATCGATTGATCTATTAGTCCTGCATTCTTAGATGAAAATCTAAAAATTAGTCACCAAAATATGGCATTAAATACTAATTTCAAATAACCTATATTAATAAAAATAAATTAATTAATATCACAGGTAAAATGATTTAATATCAAACCTGTCAGGGTTGAAATTTTCCGGTTTTATCCAATAATTACAGTCTTTATGCAAGTTCGGTACTGGAATCATAACTGTAACTCCTTTTGGAATAGTTATATTCTTATAATGGAAATCGTTCGAACATTTTCTACTTATTAACCTGAGTGAAATTTTAGATTAGTTTAAAAATTTCGATTAAAAACTAAAATATAGTTTTAAGTGCCAAATATTTACAACGATGAAAGAGGACGAAGACGTAACGTTTCCGATATTACTTGACTCAGGTATTTCAATTTGGATAAATCAGCATATTCAATTTTCTGTTAAAAATATATTTTTAATAACGTAGATTCCTTTATACTCATAAATTAGTTTTATAACAAATTTATATGTTTAATGCAAAAACTATTCATAAAAGTGTTAACATCAAAACTTACAAAACAAAAATAAATAGAAAGTTTTCCAANACTGGAATCATAACTGTAACTCCTTTTGGAATAGTTATATTCTTATAATGGAAATCGTTCGAACATTTTCTACTTATTAACCTGAGTGAAATTTTAGATTAGTTTACAAATTTCGATTAAAAACTAAAATATACTTTTAAGTGACAAATATTTACAACGGTGAAAGAGGACGAATACGTAACGTTTCCGATATTACTTGACTCAGGTATTTCAATTTGGATAAATCGGCATATTCAATTTTCTGTTAAAAATATATTTTTAATAACGTAGATTCCTTTATACTCATAAATTAGTTTTATAACAAATTTATATGTTTAATGCAAAAACTATTCACAAAAGTGTTAGCATCAAAACTTACAAAACAATAACAATAAAGTTTTCCAATATTAAAACTTTGATAACATTTACAATGCATAGTATGTATAATAATTATACATTTATCTGCTTAGTTAAGCTTTCATTTATCTAATTATTACAACTTAATTACTTTTTATCATCATACTATAATGGAATAGCGTTGAACTGAGTTACTTTATCCAACTACAGTACTATACTGTATACATTAAGGGTCATTACTTATGCCGATGGCATTAGATTAATTAATAACGATTCTATCTATAGCTCTGCAAGAAGAGTTAAATTTTGTCTCTGAATGAACTACAGTAGAGCGTCGATTATCCGAATCAATCGGGGACTAGGTTTGTTCGGAAAAAATCAGGGCTGTGGAGTCGCGTAAAAATCTACCGACTCCGACTCCGACCAGGGGCGGACTAGTTACCGAAAGAGACCCGGAAATTCTTATGTCATTACGTGACCTCAGAATAAAAGATTCAATAAATAAAGTTCTAATAAAGATAGAACGTAGAAACTTTTTATTTCAAAGCTAAAAGACTCCTCTAAGAAATATATAAATATGTATTTGATAATTTTTACTTCTCTGGCTGTTATATATAACAGAGGAAAAGTGTAGGGAAGGGTCAAAAAATGACCCTTCCCAAATTTTTACATTTCTGGACTCAGGAGACCTTGAAATTTCGAGATATACAAAAGATTCGAGGTTTTTTTTTCTATATGTATGGACAGGGCCGCCGTAAGCGGGCGTGCAAGGGGTGCACCGCACGCGGGCGGCAAATCGAGCGATCGGTCACGTAATATTCAAAGTCATTGTCATAATATCCACCCTATTTACAGCATAAGAAATGTCTTCGCATGGAGAAATTTTTATTATTTAGTGATTTTATAAATTGTAAATCTTACATGAGAAGTTTTTCGGAAAGTAACCAATTGACTGCATGTATCAAAAACCATTTTAGTACATGGATAATTAATTGCATATTTTATTGCATCCAAAATCTTTCTACCGTATGTAGGAATCGGTTCAATTTCGGGAAAACAAACTAAGCACATTATGTTAATTATTTATGAGAACTTCATAAAACTATTAAAAAAATTCTTACTTGATAATATGGAGAGTAAATCAGTTGAATCAACATGCATGATATTATAGACGGATTGCACAAATTTACTTGTTTCGTCATTTTGTACGTTGGTCTGAATTCCAAAAGCTGTTCTACAAATTATATCGAAAGTTAACTTTTTATAAAATTCAGCAATATCAAACGGCGATTCTTTCTGTTTTTCGATTTTCTCCATAAATATATTTATCGGCTTAGACATAAGAGTGCTCATCTAAAAACAGAATTTTGATATATTCGTTTAATAACAAAGNTATAGAAAAAAAGATTAAGTGAATACGTTTGTTTATGCTTTTAAATACAACTGAAATGATGCTCATTCTCTATAAGCTAGTTTATAGCACAAGTTTCCTCAAGGACACCATCGTACAAGGATCACGACATTGATCGACCTAGACATATTGTCGTCGTAAATTTCGTTTAAATGTAGCAGAAATTTGCGATAGAAAATTTTAAGAAGGGGATAAAAGAACAAAGAAGCCAAAAAAAAAAAAAAAACAAAATGTAAAGACACGATCTTCGTTCACTCAACTCAATTATCGAAATATCAAACATATTTAAATTTGCTTAAATAATACCAATTACATTGTTTTCGATGTTTTCGTTAATTTCCTGACGAACTCTTTCTTGTTCTTCAGGATATTTAACCAAATAGTGGGTGCACCATGCCAACATAATACTCGAAGTGTCATATCTAGACAACAAAAACAATAAAACTCAATATACAACTTAGCACGAAATAAGTCATATACAGTGGAACCTCGGTATACGTCTGCTTTAGAATACGTCCAATTCGGAATACGTCTGTTTGGACGAAACAAATTTTGCTCGGTATACGACTTTTGTTCGGTATACGACTTAATTCAATTATACGCGTCATCTATGAACAAGTAGCACTATCGGTGTACTACACTAGACTAGACGTTCGCGGTGCTACGGTTTATAACTTTGTTAAATTTCTTCTGATTTTAATTTGTAAGTAACATTTTATTATTTTTATTAATCATGAATTGCAAAAGGGCAACAGAAAAATAAAAAAATGACTAGAATCACAACGGAACTGAAAAAAGAGATTGTTGAGAAATATGAAGGTGGCACGCGTGTTCGAGATTTAACGAGATTTAACTGTTGCATTCCGTATTCCGAGAACGACGATATCGACAATCGTGAAAAATAAAGACATTATTAAATTTGCTAACGTTGCGAAAGGGGTTAAATCAATTTCTAAACAGAGATCGAAGACATTAGATCATGTCGAGAAATTGCTTTTGCTTTGGATAACTGAAAAACAGTGTGCCGGCGACAGCGTATCGGAAGAAATTATTTGCGAGAAAGTTAAAAGGATACATGCTGATCTCATGAAAAATCAAGCAGAAACTAGCGAGGAAAGCCAGGTGTTTAAAGCCAGCCATTTTATTTTACATGAGAACAGATTAATCATTTTTACATTACTTCTTATGGAAAAGGTTGGTTTGGTATACGTCCTATTCGGTATAAGTCCAAACACCAGGAACGGATTAAGGTCGTATACCGAGGTTCCACTGTATATGAAAAACAAAACACTGTATAGCATTAAAGTAATATTTATCAGTATACAGTAAAAATTCTTATACAGAAAAACAAACGTGAAGTATACTATAGAATTAAATCTGACCCGGATTTCACATATAATAATAATATGTTTAATCAATACATGTTATCGTTGAATTAAAATGTGCGGATCTTATATAGGAATTTCAGTTGATTGCTACAGTTTTTGCCATTAAAAATTTATGAGATAAAGTTGCAGAGTATAGTGGCAAAAGCTCTAGATGATATTTATAGAAACTGAAAAACACCACAAATTTCTATAGTTTCGTGGAATGAAACATTGTTCATAATCTTTAAGATACGTTAAATCTCTTTTTCTCTTCGAGCTTCTACAATAAAACCGAAAAATTCTAGGTAGTCGGACGATTATCGAAATGAAAATACAAAAAACCATTTCTGATAATATCAGTGAAACAGACTGATTCATTTGTAAAATTGCCAAGACAAAATGTTCACCCTAAAAAACACACACACAATATATCATTATTAAAATGTCTTTGTTTCGTCTTCTCTCTATATATTGTTTAACTCCACTAGATGTTTTATTTGTGCTTCTTTCAATCTTATCGTTGTGTTCGCAGTTGCTTAGAGTTAGTATTAACACATTTGCCAACATTTGTAACATTGTGACAGTTAATTTTGATTTTACATGTTACCTTTGAATATGTAAAAATCCAACAATGAACTTCCCCGCAAAAAAACACTGACACTAGCACAAAGTTAAAAAATTGTGTGAAGTGCTATGTGTTATCAGATGTTATTAAAAATAACTTTTATATTATTAATTATTATAAAAAGTAACAAACTTCGCCTGCAGGTAGAGATTAGTTTTTTTGAAAACTATAAATACGAAAAAAAGAGAAATTTTCATTATGTCTGACCACACTCAACACATGACACATGACCTCCTCGACCTTTAAGCGCAAAAATTTAATAGTACTCAATGCTACTTATATATAAAGTTACCATTTTAAATTTCGTTTCTTAAGCTTTCCTTCATCCTTTCCCCATTTTTCACATTTTTCGGTTTAAACATTTCAAAACGTCAGAATTTGCAAAAAAGCCTAAAGTTTAAATTTGACACAGTTACAATACTTTTTCATGTAATATACATAAAACCTGGAAACTTGACAGCTGCTCATTTAATTAAATTTATTATGAGTTACTATGAAAGATTGTAAATTAAACGTTTATTAAATTTCAGCCAGAATTTAAAATTAAATACGATATTTAGCAATTTTATTGAATGTTATACATAATTATCAATAAAATTAATATTTTATGTAATCATATAGGAATGATATGCTTGTTTTATTTTACTGTTGTTGTCGATTAAGTTAAGGCAACGCAATACTTAGGCGATGTCTTTCGGGAGGTCTTTTTTAAGGAAAAAGGGAAACTGGCCCCTATTTAAGCGTTACAGACGTGGAGAAAACCCGGAAAACTCCACGTGGCCATCCCGTTCGAGCGAGGCACGAACGGGCTGGGGAACTCCCAGTGTTCAGGGTAAGAAGACCGCTTGGCCACTGATGAGCAGCTTTATTTTATTGATATTATATAAAATGATAAGAATAAAGTAATATTAGCAGGAATAATTTTTACCCAAAAATATTTCCATATTTTTCTATCCATTCATCAATGCATTTGTTCCTCTGTAAATAAGACAAAATGCATAACTATTTAATCTTAAAACTCTGAATTGATCATTAAATAAAACAAATTATTACTTTTCTGTTATATTCCATTGCATTTCCAGTAATGAAATTGGGATTAGGCCCAGGAATTCCATATCTTTGAAACAGGCTCATCTTTCTTTTTCTCCATCTAGAAATATTGTTAAGCATTAAGTTTTCATTTGTGTTGAGAAAATCTGATAATATTTAATTATATTTTAAACGTTTTATCAATTATATAATGTAAAATAATATTATAAATCACTCATAGAAAATATAAAATTAATTACTGTTAAATTATTCTTGAAAATTTGTTTAAAAAATAAATTACAATATAAAAATTGAAGTATTGAATTTCGTAAATGCAATATAAATACTTCAAATTTCAAAATTTGATTAAATTACATGAATTGATAATTAATAAATAATTAAGAGATAATTTAATTTTTTATACTAATTGTTTAACTGCAGAAAACATTCAAAAGTATTTAAAACATGAATTACATGCGAAATTAATCGATCATTTTTTTTCTATCTATGGATTNCTGTTGCCCCTATACCAGGGGCAACTTTAATAAAAATAATTAAAATAATTACAACTTTACAAAAAGAGAGAAGTTGCCGATCTTGCCCCTATACCCGGGGCAACTTCGTCAATTTCTCTCTTCTTGTAAAGTTGTAATTATTTTAATTATTTTTATTTCCAAACTGATTTTAACCAGTTCTATAGTAAGGTAACATTCCAATAGACAATATGCAAAGCTTTTTTTTTTCAGTTTACAGCAGTATTTATTACACAAAATTTAAGTAAAGCTTAACATGCCGATCTTGCCCCGGTCTCCCCTATATATTGGTGGAACACTGTCGAGTTTTATTTCGCTTTAGCTTTCAGAATAGATTTCTTACATTTTTAATCCATCTGGGTTATATTTATTAAAGTTTAGAAATTGTATAAATTGTCATTTTAAAGTTTTTATATAGAATATTGTAAAGAAAATGCGAAGATATCGCGAAGAAACTTCGTCCATCTCCAGAGGTGGACGAAGTTTTCTTCACGAATGAAGGTTAGGAGATTTAAGGAAAACTTGTTAACATCTCGTTCCAGCAAGGAGATAGAGGTAAACTCGCTGCTCAAGACGAATAGGAACGGAATGCTCGACACAGAGAGCAACCGAGTTTATAAAAAGTTTAGAGTCACCAAACTTTCTAAAGATTTGTCCCTCAGTTCGAACACTGGTTGGTATCGGTCTCTTCTCCTCACTTTCCGATTGGTACTTGTTCTGTTTTCAGGACTTATTTAGCATCGAATCCACGGCCGTGGCCCGAAATGTTCATTTAACTGAGGAACTCTTATTCATAATTCATTGTACTGTGTTTTCCTTCCTGTCTCTAATGATTTCCAGCTGCCATGCGTGGCAAGCTCTTTAAAATAAAATTGTCTTTTTGTTGTTCCTACAGTCGTCAGAGTGAGAGGTCAAATTCCCCATCTGACCTCCCTTTTTCGCAGTTCTATTGAAAATGTCGGGCTTCGTTTCATAAACGGGCGGTACGTCCAGGGGGCGGCAAATCGAGCGATCGATTACGTAATATTCAAAGTCATTGTCATAATATCCACCCTACCTATAGCATAAAAAATGTCTTCCCATGGAGAATAAAATCCGACCGGCGCGTAATTACTATTTTCTTATTTATATTATTGCGTTAACAGCGCCATCTATTAGCATTTATCAGAACTAAGATGCAATGCGAAACGTCTGTCCGCAGGTTGAACCATCCGGCGGTGCCCGAAAGCCAAGTACCCATAGTCAAGCTCTATGACAGAAGTTGACAGGACTGGCGAAATTCGGGAATCCCCGCAGAGCTTCCTTCTCAATTTGTACTTGTCGCATTCCAACAGTTCTATGGCATATCAAATTGGAATTATTTTGTTAATAATTCTTCTGAAATGGATCTAGGTATAATTAATGATATTTTAACTTGATTAGTGTGATTATAATTTAATGTATCATTTGTCAGTGCTAAATAAAAGTGCAAAAAAAAATCGTAATTATGGCAAGTACCTAAGTTAATTTATCACAATAACTTTAATTTTATAATCACGCTTTTTCATGCGGTTTTTGCAAATACCTACCTAAACTATATCTAAGCATTGGTCTAAATTTTCTAACATTTTAAACTAAGCTCATACATGTAACTAATCTCCGGTGCAAAAATGAATCAGTTTAATAATATCAAAAGTAACAGACAGAACTCATCCTAGACTGCAATTTCTTACTAAGTAAAACACGCTCAGGAAAACCTTTAAATATGCAGCCGTATTTATTAAATTCTAACGTTTTCGGTCATATTCAATGACCTTTCTCAAGAAAAACAGAAAAAATCGAACTCCGAACTTGAATTAACGATACAAGCGTTTTGGAACGTTTTTTAAAGAATAATATTCTACTGGAATAACGCCATCTCTATATAACGGTTGTCATTATATAAATACATTAGCTATTAGAACGCTAAAAATATGACGTTCCGGATTAGCTATCAACTTCCGAGATTCAAGCAAAGTATCGGCAGCCTGGCGAGCAAGTATATTATAAAGTCAAGAACGATGGACAGCGGCAACTTACTTAAGGGCAGAAATTCTTAATTTAATGTATTTGCTAAACACATTGTGTATGTTTGGTATTTTATGTCTGTATTTTATTTTTATTTTTATTTTATATCCGGAACGTCATATTTTTAACGTTCTAATAGCTAATGTATTTATATAATGACAACCGTTATATAGAGATGGCGTTATTCCAGTAGAATATTATTTTTTAAAAAACGTTCCAAAACGCTTGTATCGTTAATTCAAGTTCGGAGTTAGATTTTTTCTGTTTTTCTTGAGAAAGGTCATTGAATATGACCGAAAACGTTAGAATTTAATAAATACGGCTGCATATTTAAAGGTTTTCCTGAGCGTGTTTTACTTAGTAACAGACAGAGCAAATACACTAGAGCCTCGATTATCCGACCACCGATTAACCGACCGTCCTAGTCAGCAAATTTCAAATGTCCACTAGTGTTGTGGCGCTACAATATTTGGCTATGTCTTGGCTACTTTAATATTATTTTTACGTGTTTTAGCTGGCAACACTGGGTCGACCATGAAACGGAGCCAGTATTTAAACGAGGCTTAATTTTCTAATTTTTAACGATACAATAGCGACGATTATTATTTTAAAAAATATTTGTTAGGCTTAACATCGATAAAAATTCAACGCGAAGTAGGTTAATAGCGATATACTAATATAATAATATACTAATTACATGGGATATAATAATATACTCAGTGGTGATATTCGAAATATTTAACAAAGGGTTCGCTAATAGAAAAGTTTTCCTAAGCCCCAAGCCCGAGATATCTCGGGCAAGTTACATAGTGTTAATAAAACTCGGGCGTTTGGACCCCTAAAAATTTTTTGTTTTTTTTTTATTTTTGAAATGTTTTTTAAGTCTCCACATTTTTTCAAAATTATTTTCCCGCGCGAAAAAATTTTATCGCGATTTTAATTTACCTTTAATGACGCACGATTCACGCTTAATTGCTTTTAATTTGCTTTTTAATGGGAGTTTGATATCAAATTTTATTCATCGTTCTAAACTTGTAGTGCACAAATTTTCCTTCGGTAAAGTTATTTAAAGCTAGTTTCTGACGTCAAAAACGACCTGCGATCGTTTTTTAATTTTTTTAATTAATAGATTTTATTATATATAAGTTTAATTAAGTCGGGGGTCGGAAATCGCAATAAAAATTTTAATTTTTTAAAAATATTTAAAAATATACGGCTAGCTAGTATTCACCCTACTATAAACTCATCTCCTCCCGAGACTTCTGAGAATGTCCCGGGAAATCCAACTCCAACTGTGTTCAAGGTCATCCAGCTGTGTAAACAATGACTCATCAGCGTCAGATTTCACAGAAAGACCAGACAAAGGAAAATAAAATCTGAAGCTTTTTCTTCAAAATTAACTCATTTCTTTCGTTTTTTTCAGTTTTAAGTATTTTTTAATGTTTAATTACATTAATATCAAAAATTGCTAGAATCCCAAGGAGTTAACTGCTTTCCCTATGACTTTTTCTCAAGAAAAAACTTTTCTAAATCATTTATTTTATCATTAGGTATTATTATAATAATAGACAGATGTCATCGTTTCTCGAAATACAATATCTTTTTTATTTCGCTGTCGATAGCCCGACACGTGTTCCGCAGCCATCTTGTATTTTCTCGCGCGCGTGGGATTGTGGGATCTCTCGTATGACTGGACCTAGTTTCAAGAACTCTCTTGAGTCGATCGCGATTAAATCTCGTTTCAGTCGAGATTGAAACGGTCGATGGAGGTTGCACCATGGCGAACGGGGTATAAGGCTCTAGTTTAGTAGTGTTACAGAGTATAATACGTATTTTTTAATATATTTTTTAAAAGAAACAAAACCACCGAGAAATGTTACGTGTGTTTAACAACGGGTTCGGAAAACTTTGAAAATGTTAACAACGGGTTCGGCCGAACCTGTGCGAACCCGCTGAATACCACCACTGAATATACTACACTAATAATGGATTTTTTCATACTTTTCGGTTATCCGCCTTTTCAATTATCCGACCAACCCCAGTCCCCAATTAGGTCGGATAATCGAGGCTCTACTGTATAACGTCCCACTGTCAGTCTGATCACGCACATGGTAGGGTTCCGTAGTCAGTACAGGCTATACAAAATTCTTACAAGACATCTGAGGCAAAACTCGATGTATTTTAAAAATACAAAGTTAATTTTGCAGTTCATTTATACGGAATTTCTATGAACTTTTTACAGACTCAACTACATGGTTAAGTTGGTCGATTATTATTCGTAAACTAGAAAAGCCTACTCATTCCTGATAGTTCTCCTTTTAATTGATTATGTTTGCATATTATTGTATTAAAAATTTTAAAAAATACTTACAGTTTATGAAAAATTTCAGGAACCGCAGAAAAGGAAAAACTTTCAGGAGCGCAATTTCGACAGCAAAAAACGAGAAAAGGAGATACAGAAAGAAAAACTGGCGGGTTCTATAATGAAATTTTTAAGCATGCCAGAAAATAAGGAAACGGAGTGTTAAGAAAATATTTACGTAGTTTCAACAAAAACAGCGTTAAATTGAGAAGCTATGGAAGTATCTGAAGAAAAATTTGTATGTTGTAGTTCTTCAGAAGGAGACTCCAGTAAAACTAAAACAAGAGAAGGTACTACTGTAAGCAATTTATTGTCGTCATTGATATGTAGCAGTTTAGATTGTGGTAATGATCCCGGTTCGTGGCCTGCCAGTATGACTAACGATCTTGTTAATATTTTGGTTAGTCGTGATCCCGTACAGGTATTTAACTACAATTTTCCTGGTAATGACGCTGGAAAAAAATTTGCAGACAATTATTATTCTAGAAATCTTCCCAATGGAGAAAAAATTAACAGAGAATGACTTGTTTACTCTATTTCAAAAGATTCAGTTTACTGTATTTGTTGTAAAATATTTGGTAAAACTGTAAGTACTGCTTTGAACGGTTTTCTGATTGGCAGCATTTATCATTAACATTGAAAAGACACGAAACAAGCGTTTCCCACAGTGAAAATGTGAAATCGTGGGTACAATTGAATAATATGTTAAAAAATAAAAGTACTGTAAATCAAATGCAACTGAGACTATTAGAATTAGAAAAAAAAACAATGGTGTAATGTATTAGAAAAATCAAAGCCGTTATCAAGTGTTTATCTCATCAGTGTCTGGCTTTTCGGGGGCTCGTCAAAAACATTATATGAGCGTGATAATGGTAATTTTCTAAAAGCAGTCGAAATGATAGCATCCTTTGATTCAGTCATGCGGGAACATATTCACAAAATTCAATTCTCGAAATCTGATTCGAGTCGTATGACTCATTATTTAGGAGATAAAATTCAGAATGAAATCGTTGATTTACTCGGTACAACCATAAAAGAATTATATAGTGGACAAAGTCAGAGAATCAAAATATTTCTCCATCATATCTGATTGCACACCAGATGTAAGTCACACAAAAGAAATTACAATTGTACTCAGGCATGTTCTTTTAAACAATGAAACTAAAAATGTTGCGATATGCGAAAATTTCGTTGGTTTCTGTCCGATCACCAGCTCCACAGGTGAAGATCGATTAAATTTTGTTTTGGATTTATTTTCACAATTAAATCTCAACATTCAAAACTGACGCGGTCAATGTTACGATAATAGTTGTAATATGCATGGAATATGAATGAATTGCAAAAAAAAAATTTGAAAATCAATAATCGCGCACTTTATGTTCCATGCTCGGCTCATAGTCACAATTTAGTAGTCAATGATGCAGCAAATATTACGCACAGAACTGTGATTTTTAAAAAATATAATTCAAGAAATTTACGTTTCTTTTCATCGTCTACAAAAAGGTGGTCGATAATTGGCAAACATTTACCAGATTTCAAATTAAAAGCTTTAAGTGCCACGCGATGGTCTAGCACAGGGGTCCGCAGTTTGTCAAGTGAGAGGAGCCAAATTGTCATGAAAACAAGATAAAAAAAAGTACCAGAGAGCCGCATATTAATTTAAATGTGCGAAATACGACGCACGACAGGGGCGCCTCTAGTGGCCGATTTCGGCATAACGTTACACGGATGGACGGACACGAGTTCAATGGGTTATATATATATAGATATGCTTCAAATGCTACCACTCTTATGCGACTCATATTGATCAACACGAGTGTGGTCATGTGCGGACGGAAAACAAGTCGAAGTTTGTTCGGCAGCTCTATCTCATAAACTCATAAGTTATAAGGCTGCAATGAAACGAGGTGAGATGAAAATGGAGTTTATGTCCGAAGAGCCGCAAGCGTCTATGCAAAGAGCCGCTAATTCCGACCCCTGGTCTAGCAGAACCGATGCAGTCAAACCATTACGGTATCACCTCAAAAAAATATTTGATGCCTTGCTGGAAATATCTGATAATTCGTCGGAATGGGATTGTACTACATCTCATAAAGCTCATTCGCTTGCTTTGAACATTCAAAATTATAGATTTATTTGCTCGGTTGTAATTTGGTTCGATATTTTAAACGAAATTACTGCTCTAAACAAAATGATGCAAAGTCCCACAATAAATACTCAAATCTACATAAATTTGTTATATAAGTTAATTGATAAGTTCACAGAATATCGCACGGATGAACACTTTGAAAGGATGTTAGAAGAAGCTACCAATGTGGCTCACGAACTCAACGTAGAAACAGATTCCCACCAATAAACAATGCGTCCAATAAGAAAACCAACACAAATTCAGTATGAACATAGTGATGAAGTTTTACTAGACCCCAAAATCAAATAGAAAGTAGTGTTTTTTATTTGTTTTTTAGAATCCTAGATCAGACATTAACTTCTTTAAAGGATAGATTCGAAGAGTTAAAAACATTTACCGACGTATTTGGCCTTTTCAGCAATAACTTATTTAATTACTCCAATGGTAAATTAATGAAACATTGTAAAGATGTAAATCTGAAGCTTAAAGACAATTCAAGTAGTGAAACAGATATTGACAGTATTGATTTGTTTAATGAAATCAATGCTTTAAAGTTGCATTTTCCAGAAAACCAGTCTAATGATCCACAAACCCTATTATAATATCTTTTAACTAATGGCTTAATTTCAACATTTCCGAACACAGCAATAGCACTAAGAATATTACTTACATTGCCGGTTTCAGTTGAATTTGGTGGAAGGTCTTTTTCAAAGTTAAAAATTATAAAAAAAAATATTTAAGATCAACAATGCACCAGCAAAGACTAAGTAATTTAGCTACAGTTTCAATTGAACATGAAATTAACTAATGGCTTAATTTCAACATTTCCGAACACAGCAATAGCACTAAGAATATTACTTACATTGCCGGTTTCAGTTGAATTTGGTGGAAGGTCTTTTTCAAAGTTAAAAATTATAAAAAAAAAATATTTAAGATCAACAATGCACCAGCAAAGACTAAGTAATTTAGCTACAGTTTCAATTGAACATGAAATAGATAGATAGCTTGGATACAAGAAAATTGATAGAAGATTTCGCAAACATAAAGGCAAGAAGAGTTCAATTTCTGTAGATAAATATTTATATGGTTTTACACTTAAGTAAACAAAAATAACTTTACAAAGAAAAACTATTTATTTTTATTACTAAGTATTTCTTTTTTTTCACACCCTTATGAGACAACACTAAAGAACCTTTCTGGCAAGCTCAGCGTAGGCAGTCATAGTTAAACAAGGGCGGCATAATCAGTACTGCACACGGGCATTCAAACAGCTAGTGGCGCTTCTGCCCCTATATCGAACCAAACTTAAAGACGTATTCAGATCAAAAAGGATATCATAATATGGCCAGCTGCCTTAATATTATATAAACAAACCAAAATTATAAGGGAAAAAATATTAAATTTTATAAGATCTAATGTCCAACAATGATCGACAGCAACGATGATTCGTTTCTTAATCCCATGCGGTTTGCATGGAATTAAAAAACGAATAAAATGCATATTAAGAAATTTCTTTTGATCCTTAGAGATATGATCGAATTATAAGTAAAAAAACACACATTCACAAATTTAAAAAAAAAAACTAGAAATTTATACGTTTCAAAAACAATGAATTAAATTACTTTGTCTCTGATTAATATAAATTATTTATCTAAATAATTTTTCTCATCACCATTTGAAGGAAGTTATTGTGATTAATATTTATCTTACAAAGTTATTTAATTTATATCTGTGAAAGAAAGATAAATAAGAATAAATAAATAAAGAATGCTCACCTTATCCAAAGTGATAGAAGATACACGAAAACAGTCAATAATATTATTATTGGCAACATCTTGAATACTTTATGTTCTTCAATACGGATGTCCAATTTACTTTTGATCAATGTCAAAGCGATAAACCTAAGTTGATGATAATAGTGCATTGACATTTGCTTATCATAAAGATATAAGTTTTATACAATACAGATTAAAACTACAAAATCGCAAAAATATATATAGTCCTATACGTAATAATTATAATATATCACATGCTATAAAGATGCTTTTTGTATTAATTTAAAATTAAAATTGAAAGTTAAAATTGATTTAAAATTGTTAAATGTGAAAATTTTTCTTTTGATATACAGTACTTGGCCAATTTAATTGACATGTGTGACAGTGTTTATTAATAACGGTAACGTCTTGCGACAATTAATTTGTTGAGCATATGTTCTAAAATGCTGAAAGAATTTTCTGTTTTAGTCAATAAACAAATCATCTCCAATTGCGTGTTCGGTATGATTCTTTAAAAAGCAGAATTGTATCGAAGATTAGGCTTATATGGGGATCTAAAGTGAAGAACAAATGAATTGAATTAATTCATGAAGAGTCGAATATTTATGAATTCAAACGCAATATACAGAAAAAGTAATCAGAAATGAATTATTCATTTATTTCATTACAATAAAATAACTGAAAATTAAAATTAAAATTATTGAAAGTACAAAAAGATGATATTTTAACTTCGAAAAATTTTTAAAAATTAGTCATAAGTAATAGTAAAACATATATTTTGTTATAATGTATGACCAAATATGCATATTAATTGCATAAAGTCTGCGGGCTAGTTATCTAATAGATGCGAAAAATATTAAATCCTTCAATTTTCAGTTAAACAGACTTATTTCACATGGGTTGAGATAGACAACGATCCGTTATTGTCTGTTTTCAAACAATCAAAATACTTTTGCACTAATACTTGCAGAAAAAGTTTCCACCTTCATAATTCCTTCGTCTTGAAACTCTTGCACGATCGTTAGATGTTGTTAGACAATTGGATTTATCGGTTCATTAATTTTGCACATGGAGCAGTCATTACTACAACGTTTTGTGGCAGTAGTACAAGATGAAGTGTATATCAAGTTTATCCGTAAAGTGAGAATGAAATTGAGTTCTGTGATATTAAAAATCCGATGTTCTTTCGCTTTAGGTCTCAACAAAACATGAAATTCCGTGCATCCACGAAACAATCGAAATTAGAAAATTCCACAAAATTATAAATATTAATTGAAATATGTGTTAGTTAACGCATTTATTGCTATCATAAACAACTTAAATACCATCCGCTGAAAAAAAAACCCCAAAAACCCAATGTTAAGCGTAATACCCAACTTCTGCTTATGAACATACAGCTGTAATTTGTTTAAATATCTCTCTATTTTTTAATTTATTTATTAATATCTTAATTTCTTTATATGATAGTGATAGCTGAAAGAAGAAAAATATTTATAATGAATTTTATTTTTTTGTTTTGATGAAATTATACTATTTTAAAAATAGATTCAGCTTTCCAAACCGCTGGAAGGACAAGTCTTTTTATTCTGAAAAGAAAAGCTAGTCGAAAGTAGTAATTTCTGTTGGATGTGATTGTGAAAGCTAGCAGTGTGATAAAGCTTTAACTAAAGAAATTTAGAGTAAACTTTTTTTATTAAATTATTTACCAATCATAAAGTGCCCAATTAGATATATAGTAAATACGAAGTAAGAAATTCCACTCTCTATAACTTTAGTTTAAATCTTGATTACTAAGTCCTTTATATACTTACTACCCGTCAAGAGTTGGCGTGTGGAAAAGAGTTAAAGAATCAACTACAAGAAAGAATTTAATTAAGATTTAGTTTCGAGTTCTCACGAGACTTCTAATTGACATTGTGAAACAAGGAAATGCAGCTCGACATTTCTTTGACAACACTTCCAAATCAGCAAAGGTCACAGAAGTACTAAATGAATTGATGTGATATCATTCTCCGTGCTTTTTCATGTGCTTTTTCTTCTGTTGCTTTCAAAGAGAACGCCATAGAAATAACTCTGCTGTGTGTACTGTACCTGCATAATGCTATGCATGATATCCTATGCCTGCAACTGTATTTATAATCCTTGTCCACGGATGTAATTGAAGTTCCATTCTGATGTTTCCATCAGAGATGTTCAGGAGGCACGCAATAAAGTTTTCCGAAGATTACTGGAGAAAATACTCAGAAAACTGAGCAATCGAAACGATTAATAGCTAGTTATAATTTATCAGCCCACTAGCATCAAAGGCAGAATACAAACTGAAAAATGAAGTTCTCAAATTGCTTGAAGCTTCTTGAATTAGTTTTAGAAGCAGTAGAAAATCTGACGATAATGATAAAGATACTGAATTGTCAGCATATTCTTTGTTTCTATCATGACAGATTAATTATTTTTATGGTATGCATTAAAGCAGAGGGCACACCAGTGGCCGTTTGAATATAACCATTGAACATTGGGAATTGATCGTGTATTAGCGCCTCGCCAACGGGTTGGTCACGCGGAGTTTTCTGGGTTTTCTTAACGTTTGTAACATCTAAATAAAGGCCAGTTTCCCAAAAAAGTCCTCCAGGAAGCCATACGTGTTACGTTACCGTAACCAAATAAACCTAAACCTTTTCTGAATGCGAGCCATAAAATAATTCATAGACGTACAGCGCCCCGCATACGCTTTTTCTTGTAAAGTTGCAGATTTTAAGCTGCCAGTGGCAACATAATCGATAACGGCCTATACGCTGGTACTAAAATTATATATAATAAAGATATGCAACCTAATGAAATATAGTTTATATAATAAACTATATTTCATATCATTTACTTTTTATTGGTTAAGATTAGTGTGAATGTTATTCATTATGGATATCAGTTTAAATTAGATTTGCATAAGGTCTGAGAACCTTCTACTCCACTGCGTTTCAGCAAATTCGAAATCTAAATCAGTTATTGAATGATCTGTAATTAATAATCTTTTCTGGGAAATATTTTATTATATAATCTTATATCTATAAATACTGGAATGTATGGATATTGAATAACAAAAAAATTAAAGTGTATAAAAACGTCGAAAGCATATATAACAGCATGTATTAGCACAAATTTTCAACTTTCAAATTGCATATAACTTATCGAATTTTGCAAAAATACAAAATTGTACGGTAATTCAGCACCAATCTGATCCTGTATTTGCCAGATTAACAAAGTTCTACTGTATTAAATACTATACAAATAACAAAAGCAAATACTTTTCTGTATAACTGGATTGCTGTATATTAGATCTCTATGTAATACGTATTACATAGAGATCTAATATACAGCAATCCAGTTATATAGTGAAGAATTCAGAAAAATAGAAATGGATATAAAGTTAGCTGAACTTACAAAAAAAGCTGAAATGTTAGGACATGACATGAACTATCTCAGATGTTTTTTACGAGAAGAAAATAGGCTACGCCAAACACTATGAAGTTAAGAATATCTATAAGAAGTGTTATACCTAGACATGCGGTATAGAAAATAGAACGTATTACATAGAGACCAAATACTTTTGATGAAACTTCACTCATTTTTCTTTAGCCTAATTATATTATTACATCTCTCAAATTATCCTCAAGGAAAATGTCAGACACTAAACATCAAGTTTTTTATACGTGCTTCTGTAATTTATCTTAAATTGATAACCTAAATTTAATTGACTATTTATAAAAATTTTGTCAGTATCGCATTCGTTTCGATTTTCATTACTCCTCCAGAAATTTAAATTTATTAAAATATACTTTGTTGACGATTCTTAAAGCCATCCTGAAGTAGCAATTAAATTCAGAACGAAGAATAGTAGCGATAAAATAAAATTAAAAAAAACTTCACTATAATATTACAGTATCAATGCTAAAAATCAGAAATTGAAAATTAATTGCTCAGTCTGACAATTATTGCAAACTAATCAATGTAAGATGTGGCTTTACAACAGTTTTAAATGCGGTTTTTCAATTATATCCTAGTGCTGTGAAGTTGTAATGATTTTTATTTGTTCACTCTCATTCCGGTGCACAGTTAGATTATTATTGCATGCCTGATTTAAGGTAAGTATAAAGTATCCTGTACTAATAAGCAAATCTTCAAAAAAGATTTTACTTTCCAAGAACATGGGTGACAAATTTTTTTTTGCATTATAGAATATAGGGCACTTTAGCTCTCCATTCACATGCTACTAGAAAACATTGCAATTGAAAAAAAAAAATGATTTNAGATTATTATTGCATGCCTGATTTAAGGTAAGTATAAAGTATCCTGTACTAATAAGCAAATATTCAAAAAAGATTTTACTTTCTAAGAACATGGGTGATAAATTTTTTTTTGCATTATAGAATACTAGTAGCCTGGGACGCCCCCAAGTGGGCGTTCTTTACAAATTTCCATGAGGAATGTTCCATGTTCCTTTGACTTTTTTGTTTTTATCAATATGCTCTACAGCTCTGTTAAAATCCGAATGGTAAGATTTACCCTCCGAATGAAGAGGTGGCGATCCCCCCAAGCCGTAAACCCTTGTACTAACAATAAAGTCAAAGGAACCATACCCCTACTCACGACCCTTCGAGAGATATAAGCCCCGTTGCGGCCGGATGGCCGAGCGGTCAAGGTGGCAGCCTACCGCT